CTGATATCAAGATGATTGCTGGAGACACAGTTTGCAAAATATTCATGTCATTCATGTATATATCAATGAGCGTTTCCATGTCGTCGTTAGTAATAATCTGCATCGAGCGATTTAGAGCATCAAGGCAAACTGTGCTGATCTCAAGGCCATACACCTTAAAGCAAAGGCTCCTTGTAGTTGCTTGCTCGTGGTTGATTTCTGTCGCTTTAGCAGTGCCTACACTACCAGACAGAAACGTGAACCAACCTTTACCAGGCGTGTATGTATGCAAAGGGAGCTCAGATCTGCCTTTCCATCTCAGAGTCATCTTTCTTTTTATGTTTTGTGCACTCATTTGCTTTGTGGTAACTTTGAGCACAATAACAATACGAAGAATTTCAAGACGACAAGAAATTGAATCAAGTCTTTCTGAAGTGCAGAGGAAAGCAAGAGAGAAAAGAATTGCCAGTGCCATGAAAATGGTATTGAGTTCATTGTTACTTTATGTTTTTTCGTACCTTCCCTTTGGAATTTGGAATATCTTGAAGATCATTCTACAAAGCAATTACGAATATCTAATCTGCCTTGAAGTCTTCGTAATTGACTTCTTGATAATTCACTTTTNGTTCATGGCGTTTTTAAATCAGGCAGTATACCTGTGTTAAACTAAAACAAACAATGATAAATAGTGTCTTGTACGACATTACTGCATATGGACGTACAACAGTTTAGTGAACTTTGTTTCGTTAAATACTTCGATTCAAAAGTTAAAGCAGGAATTGACTGTTGATCACGCGATTCTAAATATAGTAATTTAAGAAAATGAACAACTCCTCATTCAACAACACCAATGCTTCCAACAGTGACGACTTCTCTTGCAACTTTGAAGATTCAGATTGGACCCGTGCTTTTAAAATGTTTGCAGTTTTCTTCGTTGGTGGATGTGGCATTTTTGGAAACATGTTTATCATCGTCCTCGCGGTCAAATACACTGTGAGAAAGAACCTTCATCATTTGATCATCAATATGGCTGTTGCGGACTCGCTTGTTGTACTGGCAGTTTGTTTTACTGGTGTTCCCCAAATCTTGGGCAATGCAATATGGGCTGATATCAAGATGATTGCTGGAGACACAGTTTGCAAAATATTCATGTCATTCATGTATATATCAATGAGCGTTTCCATGTCGTCGTTAGTAATAATCTGCATCGAGCGATTTAGAGCATCAAGGCAAACTGTGCTGATCTCAAGGCCATACACCTTAAAGCAAAGGCTCCTTGTAGTTGCTTGCTCGTGGTTGATTTCTGTCGCTTTAGCAGTGCCTACACTACCAGACAGAAACGTGAACCAACCTTTACCAGGCGTGTATGTATGCAAAGGGAGCTCAGATCTGCCTTTCCATCTCAGAGTCATCTTTCTTTTTATGTTTTGTGCACTCATTTGCTTTGTGGTAACTTTGAGCACAATAACAATACGAAGAATTTCAAGACGACAAGAAATTGAATCAAGTCTTTCTGAAGTGCAGAGGAAAGCAAGAGAGAAAAGAATTGCCAGTGCCATGAAAATGGTATTGAGTTCATTGTTACTTTATGTTTTTTCGTACCTTCCCTTTGGAATTTGGAATATCTTGAAGATCATTCTACAAAGCAATTACGAATATCTAATCTGCCTTGAAGTCTTCGTAATTGACTTCTTGATAATTCACTTTTTTCCACTTGTCAACTCGTGTTTCAGTCCTGTTATCTACCTGATCTTTTTGGTTGATTTTCGAGAAGCWGCGAGAAAGGTGTTAAGAAGAAATGAGCAAATCGCAGAATGCAATTCAGTKCAGCAGGATCCGTCACTAGACGAGATAAAAAACATTCATTCGCGGAAAACTCAAATAGACAGCCACAATGAAACTACAAAACTGTAGTTGTGTTAGTATAAAATGTGATGGTCTTAGCAGATATTATGCAGAAATTTGATAAAATACGAACCTAAGTAGTGATAGYTTGTAAGGATGAAAATTTATTTAGGAATTTTGTTTCAAGATCGTAACGGAAGATATTTCTTAAAATAAATACACACGTGAGGCGACTTGTGTTCAACACAAAAAAAAAGAATAGTAAAAAAGAGGGGAATTTTGATTAATTAAAAGCTGAACTTTGATCAAGATTATGAAACTGATAATGTCATACATATATAGTCMYTTTTTWMGAGAGAAATTACAGAGTTCTTTACTCTTTAGTTATTTAAAATCTTCATTCTTTTAACGAGTGCTTAATAAAGTAAAACAAGTTTGTTTTATTACACCCTTGCGCTACGAAATTGATGAAAATTAATTAATGATAAAGTGCATTATTGACATCGATATCTTATTACTTTATTCGTGAATGTTTACATTGGTCAAATATAGAAACTTTATCTCATAAAAGCTATTTCTCATTTACCTTAAGAGAAAACGTTTTAATCAATACTAAGAAAACTTATGTCCCTGAAAACAACCAAATGCTTTCTTGTCAAGGCATAATTTTAGCAGTGTACTATCTAATTAAGTTTGAGAAGAGAGATCTCTTCTAGGTCATCACTTCTAAATAGCAATATGTCATGTGTACACGACATGACGTCTTGGTAATCTTCTTGATGAATGAGATATGAAAATTAAAGAAAAACTATAAAGCATATTGGAAAAGTGTTCCTAGGTTTGAGCAGTTATCTTCAAAACCTGTGACTAGCTGAAAACGACTGTTCGTGACGTTTTGAAAGTAGACATAATACCCATGTTAAACTAAAAGAAACAATTATAAACTGTGTCTTGCTCTACATAATTGCATATGGACGTACAACAGATTAGTGAACTTTGCTTCGTTTAATATTTCGATTCAAAAGTTAAAGCAGGAATTGGCTGTTGATCACGCGATTCCAAATATAGTATTTTAAGAAAATGAACAACTCCTCATTCAACAACACCAATGCTTCCAACAGTGACGACTTATCTTGCAACTTTGAAGATTCAGATTGGACCCGTACTTTTAAAATGTTTGCAGTTTTCTTCGTTGGTGGATGTGGCATTTTTGGAAACATGTTTATCATCGTCCTCGCGGTCAAATACACTGTGAGAAAGAACCTCCATCATTTGATCATCAATATGGCTGTAGCGGACTCGCTTGTTGTATTAGCAGTTTGTTTTACTGGTGTTCCCCAAATATTGGGCAATGCAATATGGGCTGATATCAAGATGATTTCTGGAGACACACTTTGCAAAATATTCATGTCATTCGTGTACATATCATTGAACGTTTCCCTGTCGTCGTTAGTAATAATCTGCATCGAGCGATTTAGAGCATCAAGGCAAACTGTGCTGATCTCAAAGCCATACACCTTAAAGCAAAGGCTCCTAGTAGTTGCTTGCTCTTGGTTGATTTCTGTCGCTTTCACAGTGCCTACACTAACATACAGAAACGTGAACCAACCTTTACCAGGCGTGTATGTATGTCAAGGGGCTTCAAAAGTACCTTTTCATCTCAGAATCATCTCCCTTTTTATGGTTTGTGCACTCATTTGCTTTGTGGTAACTTTGAGCACAATAACAATACGAAGAATTTCAAAACGACAAGAAATTGAATCAAGTCTTCCTGAAGTGCAGAGGAAAGCGAGAGAGAAAAGAATTGCCAGTGCCATGAAAATGGTATTGAGTTCATTGTTACTTTATCTTTTTTCGTACCTCCCCTTTGGAATTTGGAATATCTTTAAGATCATTCTACACAACAATTATGAATCTCTCATCTGCCTCGAAGTCTTCGTAATTGACTTCTTGACAATTAACTTTTTGCCACTTGTCAACTCGTGTTTCAGTCCTGTTATCTACCTGATCTTTTTGGCCGATTTTCGAGAAGCAGCGAGAAAGGTGTTAAGAAGAAATGAGCATATCGCAGATTGCAATTCAGTGCAGCAGGAACCGTCTCTAGACGAAACAAAAAACATTCATTCGCGGAAAACGCAAATAGACAGTAAAAATGAAACTACAACACTGTAGTTGTTTTAGTAAAAGTGAGAATCATAGCAGATATTGTGCAGAAATTTTGTGAAATAAGAAGCAAGAGGAGTGATAGYTTGTAAGGATGAGAAACAATTTAGGATTTTCATTCAAGATCGTAGAGGATTAAAGTTTGTGAAAATACATACACACGTGAGGTGATTGTGTTCAACATTGAAAAAAAAAACACACAGAAAAACAAAAAAGAGGGGAATGTTGATTAACTAAAAGATTAACTTTARTAAAGATGATGAAACTGATAATGACATACATATATAGTCATTTTTTACGAGAGAAATGACAGAGTTCTTTAGTCTTTTTAAATTTAAAATCTTCATTCTTTTAACGAGTGCGTATATTAATGAAATAAAGCAAGTTGATTTTATTACACCCTTGCTTTACAATACTAATGAAAATCAATTATTAATAAAGTGCATTATTGACATCGATATCTTATTACTTTATTCGTCAATGTTTACACTGWTCCAATATAGAAAGTTTATCTTATAAACTCTATTTCTCATTACCTTAAGGGTCCTTAAGAGAAAAAGTTTTAATCAATACTAAGAAAATATGTCCCTGAAAACAACCAAATGCTTTCTTGTCAAGGGATAATTTTAGCAGTGTACTATCTAATTTAGTTTGATAAGAGGGATCTCTTCTAGGTCATCACTCTAAGTAGCCATATGTCATGTGTACACGACATGACGTCTTGGTAATAMTCTTGATGAAKGAGATATGAAAATCAAAAAAACTATAAAGCATATTGGAAATGTGTTCCTGGGTTTGAGAAATTATCTTCAAAAACGACTGTTCAGGACGTTTTGAAAGCAGGAAGAATACCTATGTTAAACTAAAACAAACAATGATAAGCAGTGTCTTGATTGTCATAATTGCGTATGAACAACAGATAAGTGAACTTTGCTTGGTTTAATACTTCGATTCAAAAGTTAAAGAAGGAATTTGCTATTGATCACGCGATTACAAATATAGCATTTTAAGACATGAACAAAYCCTCACTCAACAACACCAGTGCTTCCAACAGTGATGCCTTATCTTGTAAATTTGAAGATTCTGATTGGACCCGTGCTTTTAAAATGTTTGCAGTTTTCTTCGTTGGTGGATGTGGCATTTTTGGTAATATCTTTATCATCGTCCTCGCGGTCAAATACACTGTGAGAAAGAACCTTCATCATTTGATCATCAATATGGCTGTTGCGGACTCGCTTCTTGTACTGGCAGTTTGTTTTACTGATGTTCCCCAAATCTTGGGCAATGCAATATGGGCTGATATCAAGATGATTTCTGGAGACACAGTTTGCAAAATATTCATATCATTCGTGTACATATCAATGAACGTTACCATGTCGTCGTTAGTCATAATCTGCATCGAGMGATTTAGAGCATCAAGGCAAACTGTGCKRATSTCAATGCCATACACCTTGAAGCAAAGGCTACTAGTAGTTGCTTGCTCGTGGTTGATTTCTGTCGCTTTAGCAGTGCCTACACTACCAGAGAGAAACGTGAACCAACCTTTACCAGGTGTATATGTATGCCAAGGGACATCAGAAGTACCTTTGCATTTCAGAGTCATCTACTTTTCCATGTGTACGGTACTCATTTGCGTTATTGTCACTATGAGCACAATTACAATACGAAGRATTTCAAGACGACAAGAAATTGAATCAAGYCTTCCTGAAGTGCAGAGGAAAGCGAGAGARAAAAGAATTGCCAGTGCCATGAAAATGGTATTGAGTTCATTGTTACTTTATCTTTTCTCGTACCTCCCCTTTGGAATTTGGAATATCTTGAAGATCATTCTACGCAACAATTATGAATCTCTCATCTGCCTCGAGGTCTTCGTAATTGACTTCTTGACAATTAAYTTTTTGCCACTTGTCAACTCGTGTTTTAGTCCTGTTATCTACCTGATCTTTTTGGCTGATTTTCGAGAAGCTGCGAGAAAGGTGTTAAGAAGAAATGAGCACATCGCAGAATGCAATTCAGTGCAGCAGGAACCGTCACTAGACGAAATAAAAAACATTCATTCGCGGAAAACGCAAATAGACAGTCAAAATGAATTTACAACACTGTAGTTGTGTACTGCAGTTTAGTCCTGTTATCTACTTAATATTTTTGTCTGATTTTCGAGAAGCAGCGAGAAAAACGTTCAAAAACTGGTCAAATTGCAAGAGGCAGTAAAGCGCAGATATGTACTGATAGCCAAAGGAGATAATCATCAATAAGGATTTGTCTGAATTTGCAATACTAGCAGTAGTGCTCTTCACAATGATTGCAAGTTTTGCTTGGCTAAATTTAGCATACGGCCTGTAGTGCTGCAATACTCCAGTTCCGAGATCTTATTTGTGCAGCTTTTTAACCTCAAAAGCATGCAATATATTCTGTTATTCAGCAGAGATCCTATTGTAATCCAAAAACCCTGTATACAATAAAAAAATTAAGCTTGATAGCTCCTGATTGAATATAAGATTGCAGAAAGGAGAATTCAAAACTGGAGTATTCGAGTTGCTGTGCTTGACTTAAGAGTTTGGCCTTACATATCATACGGATTCTAATACATTTCTAGAAGCTTGCAAGAGCAACAGTTAGTTAGTATGGGACAATGGCTACTGGGAGAAATACATATTATGCCTCCGCATAGAGACATAGAGACTAAAGCAGCAAGTAGTTGCGAAATTTTTAATTGAATTCAGAATACAGAGACGCTCAGGATGCTACATGTCTTGCGCCGATAAACGTGAGTTTCGCGTTTTMTTTTAGCCACTCTTTATTAATCGGATCTCTTTTACAAACATTCTCTTTTGAAACGTATTGTTAAAGAGGTGTTCCAAATTAATCTTAGAGAATTTWATATTACCAAGAATTATTTCATCGTTGCAATATAATTTAATAATATTTATAACTGACTGGATTTTCCCATTAAAGATTCTCGCCTCTGTAATTCTTTGCAACTCTCCCAAAACTCACAAAAATAGCACTAATATATAACTATCACTAATATATATTAGCTTGTCAAGCGAATAATCAACCAAGTTATATTGACTTAATAATAAAAAGTACTTAATAAATACTAACAACATGATATGATGAGATCAGTTGAGTGAAGACTACATTGAACACCTTTTTGTTCATGGGGTAAATTTTTCTTTAAATTATTACATGTACTGAGCAGCTGGACGCTTGTTGAAAAACTGTGAACCAAATAATTGTTTTATGTTCCTTTTGTCAGGTTTTGTCATATCAAATTTTAACGTAAACATCTCGAAATATTGGAAAAATGTACTCATAATCTGAGCTTCCAGTACTGGATGAGTACTGATGGAGATCTTTTGATCATATCGAAGCGGACCAATTTCTCCTGAGAGAAAAGATCTTTGTTATTACTTTAAAAASTACTTAAGATCAATTTTTTTTCATTCAAACACAGTCTTTAAGACAGGGTCTAGTTTTCAGTAACGGTCATGAACAACAGCACTCTTTCAAACACCAACACTTCGAACAACGTGGACTTTTCGTGCAAATTCAAAGATGAAGATTGGACTCGTGCTCTTAAAACTTTTGCAGTTTTCTTTGTTGGTGGATTTGGCATTTGTGGTAACATCTTCGTCATCGTCCTAGCTGTTAAGTAYATTGTAAGAAGAAATCTTCATCATTTGATCATCAACATGGCCGTCGCAGATACCCTTGTTGTCCTCACAGTGTTCTTCGCTGCTGTAYCGCGAATCCTCGATCAATCCATTTGGGCAACTATTAAGATTTTTGGAGACATGGTTTGTAGAGTATTTACATTCCTGCTCGCGACTTCCATGAGCGTGACATACATCACTCTTTTGATAATCAGCATTGAACGATTCAGAGCATCGAGACGAACTGTGCAAATAGCACAGCCGTACACAACTAAGAAAAAGTTGGCTGTGGTTGCTTTTTCATGGTTGATTTGTGCTGCTTATATTGCTGTTGAGATACCATATAGAACTGTCCAAGAACCGCTACCTGAGGTATATACATGCCAAGGGACTTCACAAGTTTCCAGTAAAGTGAGAGTCTTCCAATACATCGTATTCTTTTCTGTATTGTTTTGCCTCTTCACTCTGARCATTGCCACCTTACGAACGATTTCTCACCRACAAGGAATTGAGGCAAGTCTTCCTGAAGTGCAGAGAAAGGCCAGAGAGAAAAGAATAGCCAGTGCTGTAAAAATGGTTTTGAGCTCGCTGCTTCTTTATATGTGTTGCTACTTGCCTTACAACATTTGGAATGTTGTGAAATTAATTCTGGAAAGGCACGGCAGTYATTCTGTGCAAGACATTCTTTGCTTTGAGTTGAACATATATCAATTCTTGACGAATTTTTCAGCTCTTGTCAACTCTTGTTTGAGTCCGGTAATATACGTGAAAWTTTTGCCTGATTTTCGTGATGCAGCRAGAAAAGTGCTCAGAAGAGTTGTTTGTTCCGCAGAGAGCGATGAAGTRCAGCATGAACCATCTCGAGACAGGCAAGAATCGAAAGAAAACATCAATTTGAGAAGAACTGATGCAATGATTCAAATTGAAGGTCAAAGTAKAAATAAGGCAATGTAGTTGTGCCATGTCAGGTTTGAAATTTGATCCAAGAGATGTTCAGTAAGTAAATCTTTTAGACTTCAGAGAGCTCTGTAGTTGATTTTTATTTGCAATAGACACATGCATTTATTATATATCTTCACTTAGAATTATTTCATTCGAGTTATTTGGCATAAAGCTAACATTATTATTACTTTGTTTCCCTTCATATTTGAGAGGAAATATTGAAACTCAGTGATTGAGACGATAGAACAAGATCGTTGCTGACAAAAAGGTCTAAAGCGATGGCTCTCTCGAATTATTTAAAATTTTACCACATATAATACCGCGTTCGCTTCTTTCCTCGCGATTAACTTTGATACTTTACAGAAAAACAATGAACTTTCCCGACTTTTCTGTCATTGGAAATTTAATTCTTGACTGGGCAGACAAAGCGAAAAAAGTGTGTACCATGATTTGCTGAAATAAATGATTTGGTTCAGTTTGAAATGAGATTTCAGTTGTTCTTTTAGCTTGCAAAACGCGCGTAGTACTGGTAAAACAATTATTGTGGTAAAAAAACAATTCGTCTCGTGGATCTACAACAATCTAGACGATTCGATGACCCAACTGTGGTAAAAAAGAGGACATATCACGCGAAACTTTTTAATTGGTTTGATTTTCCTATTTTATTTATACTGGCTCAAGCAATCATAACATGACAGTAATTTTAGATCTGTCTATTCTTGTAATTCAAGAAAGCAACCAACAGCTGTAAACACACATTGCTTGTACCGTTGATATGGCATTGGTATACTACATATATTTCAATTTTGCGAGCTGGACGTCTCGTTCATAATTTGTTATTTCTACAGTTGTGGACATTTGACGCAATAAAGTTGAGTTTGAATCTGCGCTCACTCGTTCGATATCTAGTTGAACACTCGAAGATAAATTTGATATCTCCGCGCGTCCATGTATTATCCTCGATTTATCATATAATTATCTATGAAACACCTCTATTTCTCCAGTTGTTATTTTCACTAGTGCAAAAAGGTATTTTATGACATAATTTGCTTTCATATGTAATTATTTAAGAAATATAAAACGGCGCGCGTGTCTCTGTCCTCTGATATAAACACGGTGGGAGTTGAAACACACGAGAGAAGAAAGCTTAGGAACACGAGCGTAGCGAGTGTTTCTCTTGCTTCTCGAGTGTTTTTCAACTCCCACCGTGTTTATATCAGGGGACAGAGACACAAGCGGCCGTTTTATATTTCTTTTATAAAAYTTTTCGAGCGAAAAGAAAATTTTGCCGATAAGCCGCGTCTCTGTCCTCTGATATAAACACGGTCGTCAGCCAATCAGAGCGTGCGTTATATATCAAAAATTTTATAAATTCAAATCAACTGGGCATGATAGATATAAAATTATTTGAATATAAATGATATCATAGATAATATACATGAATATAATTTAAAAAAAGACAAGTACCTTAACATAAATGATAACAACAATGATTATAATATGTATTTGTTACATTTTTCAAAACACAAAAAATCATTGCCTGTGGTTACAGTTACTTAAAAAAACTCATACATAATTAATGAGCTACTAGGCCAATAGAATGAGCCTATTTGGTCACATGCATGGATCTTTATACCTGATAAAAAACTCCTTATTAGTATTCTTGATATAAAGAATACTAATAAGGGTGAACTTTATCAAATATAAAGGTCTATGGCCCTAGCAAAGGTCTCAGTTTTGAAACCTGATCATTGACCATTGCAGGATGTCAAGAGTGCTTTGTAAAGTGATTCGCGCATGATCAGTTTGCCCTATTTATCTCAGAACATATTTTTACGGCAATTTCTCCAAGAATTTTAACGGATTTCTCCAAGAATTTTAACGGATTTGAGTTTCAAATTAGTGTTGGAGTTTTTTAAGCCGTTTAAAACACTCGAGATCGTGTTTTAAACTATACATAAAAATAAAAAGATAACAAACATAAAATATAGATATACAAATACTATAAAATATAAAATTACTATTCAAAATATCTTTGAAAACCAGTGTATTAAAAAGGCCGTTCTTAAAACGGTCTGTATTGATCTAAGGTCTTAGCGAGGATTGTACACRTAATTCTTAGAAAACTCTAACTTTTTCTAGGAACTTTTTATGTCTTTAGCAAACAAACAAGCAAACAGTTGCAATATTGATCGAAAAAAACAACAACAGAAAAATGCAATCAATACACTGAAATGTTTATTTATTCGCTCTATTATCATCTGACTTCAGTTTCAATAAACCCTCAAAAAGCAGCAGCGAAAAGATTGGATAGTGTATGATAAAATTTATTTTATTATTTTATCATAAAATATATTTTATCATTCAAGGGACGCCGCACCAGCAATAAACATTGACATTTTAAGAATCWTTCCCAGTTGAAAAAAACCTAATGATATCGATTCCTTTTTTCAAGAGTTGCATCTTGGCAGGTTGGATGACTCTGCTTTGTTTGACATTATGTGCTCTGACTATATCTAAATACTGTTAATAAATCTTTAAGCGCCCATTCGTAATGATACTGACATATTTTAATAAAATAATATTTTAATAAAATAATATTTTAATTAAAATGCCCTGGTTCCAGAGGTTTATCGGTGTTATTCTCTGGGTAACTCGATGTCGAAGAACAGAGATATTTTACGCAGAGAATAACACAAAGAAACCTCTGGAACCAGGGTAACATTTTAAGAATCCTTCCCAAAACAGTTGTTCAAAGAGTCAGTTGTGATATTGATATTTTCTAAAAGTTACTTTTCATCTAGTGTTACTTTTTCTTGAAATGGACACTTGAGCAATAAATACTGACATCCTACTATGCATTTTATTAAAGCAAATTAACCAATGAAAGCATTTTATGTTTCTACATTTCCGTCCGGATACTTAGCTTCATTAACGAAACACTTAAGTAGCTGTCTTTGGCCAATTAGAACGTCAAGTTGCAACAGTGAATTCGTCCGGCATTGAGCGGGTTCACAAAATGACAGGTTTTCAATTTCATTTGATTTGTTTGATAGTTAGACAGCCCACAAAATCGATCATACGTCTTCAAAAAACAGTGTTTTTCAACGAAAGCACGAGGGTTTTATAGCTWTTTGTAAGACCATGAATAATTCAAGCAGCGAAAGTMATTTCTGCACCAGTGAAACTGCTTATGTGTGGCAAACATTTGTATTKTTTCTAATTGGTGGATTTGCTATTTTTGGAAACATATTTATCATCGTCCTCGCTCTCAAATACACTACGACAAAGAACCTGCAYCATTTGATCATCAACATGGCCGTTGCGGACACTATTGTGGTTTTGACGAYGTTTGGTTTAGAGAYTCCAGTTTTAGTCGATCATCAAGCATGGTTGGAGGTGAAGAACTTTAGTGGAAATATAACGTGTAAGATACTAGCTTTTTTTCTTACAGTAGGCATGTGGCAAACATTGGTTAGCTTATTCATGATGAGCATTGAACGATTCAGAGCGACAAAACTAACTCATCGATCGCACTTATATTCATTGAAGCAGCGAGTGGCAGCGCTTGCTGGGTGYTGGTTTATTTCGATCGCTTTGGCATCATATGAACTACATAAAGCTACAGTTACTTACAAAGAAAAAATATATYATTGTAATTACGGAGACGCAGAGACTTTAACTGCATGGAATATGGCTTTATTCTGCGTCGCAGCGCCCATCATTGTCACAATATTCGTTTTAAGTATCATTACTTTGCGAAGACTCTCGAGACTTCCAATAAATCCAATTCACCTTCAGGAGGTGCAAAGACRAGCAAGRAAGAAACGAATGGCCAAYGCCATAAAATTGGTGTTAACCTCACTCATTCTTTACATGGGATGTTATTTACCTGAATATGTCACCAATATGTTTAAACTTATCAATTTGAATCTAAAAGAAGTCTTCACAGATATATCATGCATTGATTATAATCTATATAACTACATATTGACGTGCCTTGTAATTGCCAACTCCTGCTTAAGTCCTTGTATCTACCTTATTTTCATGGGTGACTTTCGTAAAGCTGCGAGGAAGTTGTTTCGTAGAAGAACACATATACAAACACTGGAAATCAAACGAAATTCAGCACACGGTCAGCTGCCGGAAGAAGGGAGAAATTGAGAAATTAGTCCCCCAAAAACGACTAAAGAGAAGGACAACAAAGTACATCAACGTATTAATGAGAAAGTGAACAAGAAAAAATTAAAAAAAAAATTAAGAGAAGTTGAACAAGAAAGATGTTAATTTAAGTGTCGCTATCACATCTATATAGTGTTATTATTATTTTTTTAAAGTCAGCCAGAGGCAAATATAGATAAGAAGTTCATCCTGTTTTGATCTATTATGGATATAATCCTTTCAAATGGACCAATGTAAGCTTTAATATTGCCTCTACTTCAATGATAAATACTTTTCATGTACGAAATCTAAATGACTTACTTTACTATGTACTCCAATGATTCTTTGTACACCTAAATTATCACTTTGAAAATTAAGCTAGAGAAGTTGATATGCTAGAGCCACTTTACCAGGTGCATGGGATGGCAATTCGCATTAAGGCGCGGCTACACGAGCGATTTTTCGCTTGCGCAGGCGACGCGATTTTCGGGTACGATGACAGCTGAACATCGCATTTGAGCTGCTTTTGTACATGTACCTCTTTATGGAGATTCAAATAAGTATTTGTGAGGGTGTTTTTCAATACAGCATTGTCGTTTCCCGTAAAGTGAGAGTCTTCCAATACATCGTATTCTTTGCTGTATTGTTTTTGCCTCTTCACTCTGAGCATAAGATTTCTCACCGACATGGTGTTGATCAAGTCGATCAAGCTCGCCAAAGGAGTAAGAATGCAATTATTAGTTAACTCTATCATTAATGAGTATTCTTCTCTTTGGTAGTAGAACGAAAACCGCAGACTCGCAGGCTGTCCATGAAACAAACAGTTCCGCAAATATACACTATTTTTCAACCGTGAAAGACCAATTCTGTCCTTTTTTCCCTTCCAATGTTCGTATGTCTTGGCCTTCTGAACGTGATATCCCTCAGTTATTTCTTCTTTCGGGTGTGGACGACCGCGATAAGATTTCGTTACGTTGAGTTGGAGCATATCGGCAAACTCAAAATAACACGTTTAAAAAAGACTCAATATTCGAAATTTCTAGAAAATGAACAAAGAAGTAATATATATGGMATTTTTGAGGAAAAACCTAGAGATGTTTGAGATTTTAGACAGATTGTGTAAGCTAGTACAGGTCTTTGCGGTAATTTGGGGCGCGCAAAGGATCCTCCTTTAACGCCCTCTTTGATTAAAGATGGGATATATAGTCCTAAAAATGGCCTAAAATGTCTGTGAATGCACTAAAATCGTGAAAACGTCCTCAAAAGAGCAAATATATTATAGAAATACCTCCGATATAAGTCCACCCATTTCAAATTTCTAATTGGATTCTTTGTTCGACTCCTCATGTGTCATTGGTAACGACTGTTAGCTTTCAAAAATCGATATTTTCATTAAGTTTGTATTGAATTTCAAAACTCCATATTTTGATCRAATTGTTACGAAGCACTTAGCTAGGATTAATTTTAGGACTTTGAAATTTAGGAAAGTAAACAAACTCAAATTGATTAAAGAAGGCCAAGTCAAGGCATGTGTAGACACGTTGATTACGAAGTTCGGGAGCGATCAGAAAACGTAGAAGGCTCACGTGTCGAAACATCCACTGCCTAGCAAACACCACAATGTTACTATACAATTACCAAGGTAGCAAACTAGACTTGAAAGCACAACTAGATTTGGAGAAAGTGGAAAAGAGTGTAAACACGTGATGAGTAGAAATAAACCTATTGGAATATAAATTTGTATATTTTGAGTGCTATATGTGGTGCCATCAGCCAGAGACACGCCTTTGACAAGGTGTCTAAAACCAGCCAAAGCTAAACCATTTCCAGAACAGTCTCTTACAATAAGCTTACCCTAAAAGGACTGAATTGGCTGCAAATTCTGGTCAAGAGGTTTCTACACTCTCGGCAGAACCCAAACACTGTCTGATTGTAGCACATATAAGCCGAGCAGAGTGGTAAACTGATTAGAAGTAGAAGTTGAAGCAGATGTAAACGAAGAAACAGTACGTGCCCAATAAACAACAAAGAACGATCAASTCCACGGAGATCTCTAACAGAATCTTCAATCCCGGACAAAACTAGTTGAGACACTGGCATTTTTTCAATGCAAAGTATTCCATTTCTCATATCTCTAAAAAAATCACTGATTTTGATCCTCCCCTCCCCCAACCAAACAATGTTGTGTGTGTGACGTKATGCTAGAARKGTGTGCATGATTGTTCAGTCCTTTCAACATTGATTTGAGGGGGRAAAAGGGGGAGATTTGCACAGAAATATGCAGATAGATCATCGAAATTCAACCTATTTTAAGAAATGTCTCAAACAGTTTTGTCCGGGATTGTTGACCCTAGCATCAAAGAAAAATGAGTACTAGAATCTGCAGCTCATAAAACGGTATCGCAATCTTTGGTTTGCACGTGGAAGACTATATTGCATTGTTCATAATATTTTAGATACATTGATGAGTGCCATACACTGAAAAAACGTCTATTGATTTTTGTAATGTAAGCAATGATGAAGAGGTTTTTTGAATAAGATTAAACATTAAATCAAATTAAAATCGATTGCATATTGAAGTAGATCCGAAATAAGGTATGAATAAGTTGACTTAATTACAGGTTGTGAGTGTACAGAGCTTGTTTGGARGTAATTGTAATACAAAAAACAAATGTCGTAAGCAGGGTTGCGTAATGTCACAATTTGTTTGATCGCGATCCCATTCTTTTATTGTTCTATTTTATAATTCTTTTGTTATGAACTGTTCATTCTAGCAGCCAGTTCCTACACACTATACATGTGCATTGGGCTAATTTAGTTAAACATTTGAATTTAGAATCGCATTATCAAAAATTATTATTATTATCAAAAATTCCTTTGGAGTGCCTTTTCCCGTTAATCATCTATTCCACAAATCAAATTTCATTTCAAAACTTGATCGCTTTGATTGTACATACGAAATTCTTCGTATCTCAATGATATCGCMGAAACCTAATCCTCGAGGAAGTTAATTCTTTAGCATTATTCTCTAGGATCAAAACGACCACAAAAATTGTCGCTAGTGTAAACGGGCCATAGATAAGCGAACTTTGCTTAAAAATGACTTCGTGGCTTTTTTAAATGATCGTATATGAAAACATTTTGGACCGACTTCTTCACTTTTAATATTAGTTTTTATAAAATTTTTGATATATAACGCGCACTCTGATTGGCTGATGACCGTGTCTATATCAGAGGACAGAGACACGGCTTACCGGCAAAATTTTCTTTTCGCTCGAAAAATTTTATAAAAGAAATATAAAACGGCCGCTTGTGTCTCTGTCCTCTGATATAAACACGACGGTGGGAGTTGAAAAACACTCGAGAAGCAAGAGAAACACTCGCTACGCTCGTGTTCCTAAGCTTTCTTCTCTCGTATTTTTCGAACTCCCACCGTGTTTATATCAGAGGACAGAGACACGCGTGCCGTTTTATATTTCTTAAATATAGAAACGCAGAATTCCGCATTCTCCTTCCAAACCAAATTACTCTTAYGCCCCGCCTTGATTTTTTTAAGTTAAATTAACTTTTTCTTCAAACACAATGCTTATCAGCTTTATTAAAAACTACTTGAACAAGCGTCATTAAAGATTATAGGAAATATGATAGAAAAAGGCAAAAGAACACACTCAGAAGATAGATTAACATAGGATAACAATCATTTAAAATAATTAGCGATCAATTACATTAATTATTGATTTCATCTAGGTGCTTAAACTAATGCTTTCAATAACTATGTGGCTTTTAGGTGCAGTTCGTATCCGGTCAACAATGGTCGATTCAAATCTTGGTCGTTTCTACTTCCCAACAACATTCTAGCCACGTCTAACGCAATACCGACGGCATGATCCACCGTAATATCTGCAAAATCGTCTACGACGAAAGCAGTAGCGGCACTTTTTTCTTCGATTGTGGCGGCAACGACGGATTCTACAAATTCGTCTAGAATGASGGCAAAATCGACGCCGAGGAAGGCATCGATATTTCCACCGTACACAACGACGACGGACACAGCTAACATGGTAAACGAACTTGCATTGGAATCGGCCGCATCTAGTTCGAAAGCAGCGTCTTATTCTAAAACGTCTGCAACGTATTCTTGGATCTTAATCAGAAATGAATGAAAATATGAGTTACATTAGTAAACCTTTTTTTACAGCGCAAATATTTATCGCTTTTAGCGGCGATGCTATAGAAATATTTTTGATTGGAGGAAATTTTTCACAGGCTGAGTCATAACAGATAACAGGATTTGTGATTCTTTCTCAGTGAGATTTGTTTTTGAAATTTTCTGCGCGTGATATCTTTTTCTTGGATTCTTAATTAAGAATAAGCGTAAGGAARAACAGATATGATTTTATTATATACACTACAATGAAATACCAGGGAATCTCTRGAGCGAAAAAGTAATATGTATTTCACCATGTAATATCATCTATGTAATATCCACTATAAAATGAAAAAAAATCTCACCGTTTTGTTCAGCAGGGTTTTCTTCACTTTCTGCCAATTCAGTCTCGGGTTGATCTGCATCAAAACAACATTTCACCACATTTTTTTAAGATCTCGTCGCTATATCAATATTTAACGCAACTGATGCAGTTTTCTAAGGAAAGTCTGGACAATCTCCTTGAAATCTCTTTGGGCTTTAACTGTCCTTTTTTTTATAGGGTTTTATTTTAGGAACAATGATAGTGAACAATGATTTATGAASAAGTGTTGGTCTATAACAATAGCGTTAATAATCAGTTGATATGCGAGCAACAGAGCGATTCGATTCTACGCAAAACATACTTCTTAGTTCACCTGGGACCTTGTCAGTGTGTTRTCATTTGTATAGGTTGGTAATATCAAAAATTGAAAAAATGATYCGTGCAGTTWTATAGCTACGTGACTGTTAAAGGGAAATTGAAAATATTAGACAAAAAGAAAATTGTTGAAGAAGCTTAGTGACACGACAAAATATAGCTACCTTCGTCAATTTCTGGATCCTCTTGATCTACTTCGTCTTCGTCAGCTTGATCATTTTCATCGTCATCATTTTGTTCCTCTTGCTCATCTGGAAAAAAAATATTTCCCATTAATAATAATAATAATAATAATTAATAATTAATAATTAATAAGGAGAACAAACTGTAGCCACACAGTGGAGTCTTATTGACAAATGGGCGTTGACTTGGCATCAAGAAAACAATCTTCTAATATCCCAGTTTGGATAAGAAATTACAGATTATTTTAGCGAAAGTGTCTTCATGGTTACCTTGAACGCCATCTTTCTCTTGCTCAGCTACTGGCTCATCTTGAGTCTCTTCCAGTGGAGCAGCAGAAATGAAGGCAATAAAACCAAAGAGAAACAGCAATGTCAAAGTGAGCTTCATGAYTGCAACTCAGTGACTGCACTGATTCTTTACCTCAAACCTCTTTCTTTTATGTGCTCCGTCCCAAGGTTGAGATGTGKTCCCTGACCGTTGCTATGGACGTCACGTGGTCAACCAGCGATTCATTCACGTTGCTTTAAATTTGGTTAAGATGAGCAATAAATTTAACCCGACTTGCTTCACTACAGACATCTATATTTCTAAGCATCTTTCAGCCAATTTTTCTCCACTTAAACATCAATATTAATGTTCATATGAGAATTGCGTGCAGAGAAAGAATAGATTTACACTAGAGTGGCTCTATTTCTAATTAAAATGCTTCAAAATCCGACRCCAGTCAACCATAAGATCACAATACAAGAAGAATTTGTTTGTTACAAAGTTTGCTCAAATACTCAAATTATTAAGACGTTTTATATAAATGATTTCCATTAAAAACTGATGATTATTGTATGAAAACGAGGCTGGGCGGGCACCTTGCACGTTTCCATACATTTTCTTGTAAATATACACATTTAACAAACATTATATCTTCGTTTCTTTATAAGCTATATTATCTCCTTGAAACGAAATACATTCATTTTTTTACTTAATTGTTTTGTCTAAGATTGAGATTGAAGTCCACCTAAAATTTTACTCTATTAATTACAGCTATTTGGCTACTCAAATTTGTATTAGAGGTTAGTAAAAGTTATTGATCACACGTTTAAGCTTTGCGCTGTCAATGGATTGACGTCAACGATGGACACCAGCAGGTCAATCCACACAAAACCAGCATTGTTGAAAATCGTATCACAGTTATCAAAAGATGAAATTACGCTATCAAAAACACCCAAACAATTGAAGAATGACAAACGAGGTTTTTTCCATGACCCTCGCGAGTTGGAGGTCTAGGAGTAGCTCTTATGTTATTTTTTTCACGGAGAGTTTAAAACAAAAGATTTTAGTCCATCAACCTCAGGGCATCCCATCTCATGTCAATAGCCCTTTTCAAGCCAATATATCCAAAACAATTATTAACATAACTATTTTAGTTCAAACTATCACTCAAAACAAAACGCTGCTAGAATCAAAAATAAAACCCATGAACCAAACCGCATGGATTATTGTGTGATTTCAAACTTTAATCCATAAAATTGATACTACTAATTTATTTTGTACTAAATTCTGCAATTTGGTGTTTGTTATTAACAGAGATTAATTTCATTGTTACAACTTTTTATTAATTTTTTTACACTCAAAATATGTTTTTCTATTTTACAAAATATTGCGAGCAATATAACAACTAAAGTAGAGAACAATACTCTAGATTGAAGACATTAGAAACAGAAACTGACAAGAWAATAATACAATTAGAGTGTATTAAGCTGTATTAGTGTAATATCTACTTCAAAGATTGAAATACTTCACTCTATAAAAGTGTGCAACATAAATACTACTCACTGATACTGCTAAAGTATATATATGTATATTTTTTTGTTGTTTAAAGAGCT